CGTTTGCACAAATGTTAAAACAAGCACTGCTTTAACAGCATCCATTTCTATCAGAGTAGCCAAACTGACATCAAACTGTGTCTCCTCCTGTCTACATGCAAACATAAAGACAGAGTTTTTCCAAATCTCCACTTTGACTGGAGTTTTCAGATATGATCATTTTCAGTGACTTGCAGCTTCGTTTACGTGTAAACCAAAGACCCAAACACATTTAGATATCATCGTTTTTGTTACGTGTGAACGCGGCACTGCCCTGGTGAGTCGAGACACTTTGACCACTCACAACCGAAGTGAACAACATTGATTATCTTGGACAGACACATGTCAAGGTGTGGCATGTTTTAGGTGGTAAGGGAGCAGTTAATTCTTAAATTCACCATATCACATGCAGGTGAAATGGGCAAGTGTGAAGTCTTATAGGATGCTCCAGTCCACACTGAGGCACTCACGACTCTGAGGATGTTCAAATCATGAAGAACACTGTGTTGTGTTGATCTGAAATAATGCAGTTCCACCTCACAACTTCCAGGACTTGCAAGACACAAAGAATCTGCTAATAATATCTTGGTGCCAGAAACCACAGGAAACGTTCAGAGGTCTTGTAGAGTCCAGGCCTCGGCAGGTCAGAGCATAATGTTGTGACTCAACAGTGTCTGAAACACCTGAGCAGGACTGTACATTAGAAGATATTCAATGTCCTATTCCATTTTATTATACTATTTGCAATCTTTTTTCTTCACCCTGCATTTCTTGTTTGCTCTCATTTGCTCCTTTTTGTATTGTTGCATTGCATTGCAGTCTTGGGCATCTGTCTGTCTCAATACAGAGCATTTTAAGGATTTCATATTTGGGGGGGCTGTCCTTATTAAAGGACAGCCAGCAGCTGGCCACGCCTGCTAAATCCTCCTCACAAAACCCACCCACTAGCTCCATCTGCTTCCCAAGTTCAAACCCCCTGGCGCACACACACACACAGACACACACACACACACACACACACACACACCTTCTTGGTACTCCTTGATCCCAAGAGAGCGGAAGCCTACATCTGTTCTTAGTACATCAGATGCCTTTAAAACAATGAATTCCTTGTTGATTGTGAGACAGTGTAGTTAGACGTGATGACACTCTCTCATTCATTCACACACACAGTTACTGTATGTCCTCATACAGGTTTTCACTGACCTTGACCTTGACAGCTGAGCTGTGACTTTAGCTTTTTCACACAACTGTTAACCTTTAATCCTTATGTGTCTAGAAAAAAAACAAGCAAAGATTCAGTTGTAGGTCACTATTTCTTCCATTGCAAACAGACACGGTTCCGAAAATCCTTAAAAAAAATAAAAAGCCATCAAATCAGGATGCATGTGACTGATCTCCTAAATTTGAACTCTGCCAGTTTTGTCAGATTTGTTCAGACCAGGAACTGATTTAAAAGTCACTGTGTACACGCGATGAAAATCCACACAGGTGATTTGAATTACTGTGGCTGATTAGAGCTCCTCACAGGACTGTGTGGGTGAGTCCGTCAGCTTTGGTGCATCTGTCATCAGTCTTACTGGTACATCATGTCTGGTGACCTCACTTAATTCCACCTGCTTTCAAATTATGCAGGGGTCCAATCAGACGTATTAACAGAAAACATCTGTGTATGTAGGGCTGGAAAGATGTGTTTAAAACCAAAACAGAGAAACAGAATCCAGCTGATTAAAGAGCTACATCTCTGACGCTCCAACCAGGCAGGAAAACAAGACATACACAAAATGGAAATGAACAAAGACCACAGTGTTTTTCACTTTGTTAACATGCCGATATCTTGTTTTTATAGGCTAAAAGGCACATTGTAGTGAAATCAGCAGCCAAAGAAACAGATGAGCATGAGATGAGCTTAGAGGTTCAAACAGCAGAGAGGGACTTTTATAAAAAGCTAATATGTATTTTTTATCAGGAATTCTTTTCAGCTGAAGAAAATGATATACGAAAGGTTTTTATGTAGCTTCACAATGCCTCAAGAATGAACTCTGTATTGGTTTTATGGAGCGTGTTTTCCTCCTGAACTCTCACTGTGGAAACACAACAAACAACTAACGCTTATTCACTAGCATCACCAAGATGTGCCAATCACCTGAGCAAGGCAACCAAAAAACAGGAATCCAACTACTTATTCCCACTGCTTTCAAACAGCCTCTAGATGTAAAAGCAGACAGGCCAAAAATATTACCAAAGCAACTGGCATTTGCAGTTCATCTGTTTAAAAAAAAAAAAAAAGACAGGCAATATTACTTTGTGCATTTTTAAAGCTCAAACAGCACTGCTGGGTTTAATAATTCATTGAAGTTCATTATGTATATGTTGCACTTATAGATTTGATTTATATTATAGTTCAGAGCAAACAGTTCACAGTCTTTTCTCACTGGCAGGATGCAGCATTTTAGTGCCTCAACTGGTCCAATAAGAATTATGGCAAATTAGGCACTTTTGATTTTTTTCATTAAAACGAATTAATGAAAAATGATTATCCTTTTTTTCTGCTGTATGAAAAACATACTCAACTCTTAAGCCAAAGTTCCGACCGAACTGTGAATTTGATTGACTCTAACATCCCTGTGAATCAGCAATTGTCATATTGTTGCCTACAACTATGATGGATTGTCTGCAGTATGTCTCTTACAGAAAGTGAATGTATTAAGCCTCTTTGATTGACAATAGCCACCATCAAACATACAGTACTTATTCTGTTGCCAGACTAATAAAACCAAATCTGTCAAGTTCAACAAATGAAATGTCATGTCAATTCAAGCATGAGGGCTGTCTGGGTCCTGGGTTACTCTAGTTAGTGCATATTCCTAATCCTCCAATCATTTCAACAAACTGACTCAACAGGAGCCTACAACTCATTCCAGAGCATCCTGCCTGGCTCTAATTATAAAACAAGGGAGTCATCTGATGCTATTTTTACACTTCACTCACAATTTAGATGCACATGCAGTAGAGTCGAGAAACACATGTTCAGGTGCTCACATGCAGGCGCATAATGTATGTACATATTTGGAGTCAGGAAGATACAGGAGCAGCAGATAAACGAGGCGCTCATCCAGCGTTTGAGATTCCAGGCGTATGAAGGCCTGCTTCCACTGGGAGCTGACAACCACAGGCTGGGCGAACGACTTCCAGAGACAGAAGGAGAAAGAAAGAGAGAGCGAGAGGAAGAAAATATGAGGCATTAAAGAAGAGAGTCAGGGTGGGAAAGGACCACAGAGAGGCAATGCATTATTTATTAATCCACAGCTCCCTCCTCTTCTTCATCCTTTACTCCTCCTCCTCTTTCTCTGCTCACTCCTCCTCTTGTTCCTCTGCGCCCTCTTCCTCTTCATCCTCTCCTCCTCCTGTGCTCTCCCTACCTCCCAATCCTCCACTCTCTCTTGCTCGACATCCTCAAGTCCTTCCCTTTAATCTTTTTCTCCCTCGTTCTCTTCCTCTTCATCCTCTGCTGCTTCGTGGTCATCTCCCTCCTCGTACTCTTCTCTTCCCCCTTCAATCCTCCATTCTGCCTTTGGTTTCATCTTATTTTATCTTAACTCGCTTCGTCTCTTTCTTTCTTCATGGTTGACTCAAATATTTTTTCCAGAGTTTTTATAAGAGTTCTTTCTGTTGTTGCCATCCGTATGTCACCCAGTGGAAGTGAACCGTGTTGAATTTACCATTGTCTCAAAACAGATTCAGGATGTTGACACTTCATTGGCGAGTTCATCCAATTTACACCAAAGTATATCGTGTTCACAGCATTAAGTCATGTACATGGATATGAGTGTCTTTGTCCATGGCTGACATACCTGCCTTTGCTATTTCCGACAGATTAGAGGATTGTCCTAAACCTCATCATCAGCTGTCATACTGTGTCTTGTTTATTCACTCATCGAAATGGAAAGACAAAGTTTTGTGGGTTTCATAAGGGGTTCCGTGACAAAACTATCTCATGACATCAGTTTATGCTTTCTATCAGCTCCTCTGTGCAGCATCACTGGCTACAGTGTAGGTCGGCATATATGATTGCTTAGCACCAACTTTGATGTTGTATAGGCATGAACGTATTAAACTTAGCAACCTTCAAACCTGCAAACTGTGTGTGTTTTTCTTATGTCTACTGAGTGAAACAGATACGACACATTAGTAAATGTCTCAAAAGCGAAAAAACAAATACTCTTACCAACACTTTTAAAGTTTATTAACTTTTCTGTTCACTTGGTGCTCATTTCAAAGAGGTAAAGCAAATTTCCCAAAACACTGAACTATTCCAGAACCTGCACCTTGGTTGTCGCTGAGAAAGCAAAAAATGGCGCAGATGAACCGCAAATTTTATCTCAAGCATGGCTGGATTACCCTTCCAAATGGCACCAGGGAAAATATTACCCAAAGTGTGCCTGCCGTGGTAATTTGATAAATGTCCGATGTGAGCACAAGTCCCTTCTAAAGGAAAGTGCCACAAAATTAGTCAATACTGCAGGGCCCTACTTAGCTGATATTGTAAAGGAGTAATTCAATTTCTTGTACAATTAAAAGAAAGCCCCTTTTTGGAGCCCTTGGTGGTCTGCAGCCCCTAGGCAGCGGCCCACTTTGCCCAGCTTTGGTCTTATGATAACATCATCTTGAGTCAGGTCATCAGAAATCAGGAGAACTCATTAATAGCCACTGTGTGATCTTCTAATGCAGTGGCTTTCAAACTGCGAGATTCACCCCTCTAGGGGAGCAAAGAGTCACAGGAGGGAGGGGAATACAGAGAAGAACTATGACTAATGAACAAAAATGGAAAATGGTTTCACTAAAGAACCTTCACACAATGGTGCATCGCTGTGCTCGCAACTGTTTCGACTAACAGTTGATTTCCAGCTGCAACTAAAGCATTTAATAACATTTTAAATGATCGCTGCAGTATTTCTGCTGTGTCAGTGGTCTGGAGTGTGTTACTAACTTTTTGTGTTGTCTCTTTGTGTTTCTTTCAGGTGGATGTTGTGAGAAAAAAAAACAAAAAAAGATGAAGACAAAGATGCTGACATTGAGGATCCAGACAAATGAAAGAGCCCCAGTTCTCTTTATTTATTACCGTCACAATATGTGTGAGCGTGTGTGTGTTAGTGTGTGTGTGTGTGTGTTAGTGTGTGAGCGTGTGTATGAAAGTGACAGATCGTGAGCATTGAGCATGTGTGCATTATGAACGGTACCTAAGATTTCAGGCTATCATTTGCAAATTTTGTTTACTTTTTATAAGGTTCCAATAACTCCTATATCATTGTCACAGTATAAACAAAAGGACTTTACTATTGGTACATATTGTGTTTTGTGTTTGTAACTAGCCTCCTATTTAAGAATGTATATTTGTATGTATGATATACTCATCTAGAAACTATATAATGGACAGTTTTAATATTGCTTCATCTTCTCACCACTATACTGCTTTTGCCACGACACATAAATCAACAAACACAAAGGAGACATGCACATGAGCAAAAATACACTTATGGAACAGAAAAAAAGAAAAAACAAAGAAACCTAGAGTCAGTTTTCCATATTTTTTCTAAACAGGTTGAAGTCTGATTTGTGCAACTGTAGACAATGACAAAAAGAATAATAATAATTGTATTATTATTAATAATAATACCAATAATAATGATGATGATGGAGGGCTTTCAGGTGATGTAACACATCCTTTGGCAGCCATATTGGAGGTCCTCAGGTCTTTGAAGCCTGGGAGCAGCCGTTGTTTTAAATGTACAACTCTGCCAACTCAGCAGTCACAGCATGTTTACTTTACATCTGCTTTAAAGGTTGAATTTATTATTAAATGATTGGTATATGTGTTAACTGTTGTAATTGTTGGGTAACTGTTGCCATTTTGGCATCAACAAATCTCATGTAAACACCGCGGCACATATCTTGTAGGTAGCAGTAAATAGCAGCTAGTAGTTGTGTATGAGCATATTGATCTTTTTCAGATATTCCTCTTTCCCTCCTGATTTGTCAGCCTAAGTGGGTTGTGGTTGAACATGTTTAAAGACGTTTTCACAGCCTTATTTGGAAGTTCTGATCATCATTCCCATTCATTATCTTAGAATTTCACTCGCTGGCTGCAGTGTAAAACCGTGTGCAGTTGCATGAAAGGTCAAAGTTGGAGTAGGAAGTAGCTTACAGTGGATGTTTTGGTCAACCTTGGGCATCACTGAACCATAGATCAGCACAGTGTGTTGCTGAGATTTGGGAGGTGTTCTCATCAATGGCATACACTTATCGTGACTATACTTTGCAGAGATTTGCAGAGATGTTTGTATGCAGGAACACACCGATCCAGCACTTTTGCCTGGTGGTTTACCACTGTAATGAAACTAAAATTGAGTTTAAAAGGCCTGTCCCTCACTGAAAATCATTTTTAAATCTGTAAAACGGCAGTTCTATTTTTTTTATTTTTTTTATTTTTTGTGGTTGAAATCATCACCATTTTCTCTTCAAAATTATAATCTAGTTTATACCTGGATTGACTAATTTGTAATGTAATGCAGTGGTGGTTATTCTGGACTTATTGTGTATATTTGCACCTCAAAATCACGACGTGTGAGAAACTGTTGTCATAATGCATGAGAATGATGGCCAAGGCTCCCAAAGTAAGGCCCTAGTTTTAGGAAAATACTGATGATAATGAGTCTCCTTTAGTTTTACAGTGGACCTCCATGATGGAACCAGGCTAATAGGAGTTTTGTGTTGCAACTTGAAAAGCCTCTCTGACACAAATGATCTCTGCTGGAGATGCTGACGGTGTACACGTAACACAACAGGGACAGCACCAACCAGTGTGCATAAGAATATAGATGCAATACGTGATAGTCAACAGCTGTGTGTCTGATGGAAACGTATGCTAGTGTGTGTGAGTGTATTAAACATGGGCAATAGCTAAGCATTGGTGCTTCCATCCATGTATATGAGCTAATGTACAAAAGATAAAACACCAAGGCAATAGGCTGTGCAGCCTGTTGTTGTTCCAGCCCACGACAATCCTCCTTTTCACTTTATCTGATATCATCAAAAGATCTGCAATATTCTATCAGAAACAGATTATCTATGTTAAAAGCTGCAACTTTTCGTTCAGTTCCTGAGTCAAATGTTGCGACTGATCTGGAGATTTTGTTATCTGACAAATTAGGCGAATGTGGGGATGAATGATTTGCAGGGTGTGTGAGTGTGTGTGCTGTATGTGTATTGTGGGTGGTGAAGAACTTTGATCTGTCCCTAAACCACCAACATATGCTCTCACGCAGAGACCTTCCCTAGATGTGTGCCCCTCAACATGATACATGTTTTAATGTCTTGAAAATTTTTACGACACCATGACCAAGGTCAGCTGTATAATGTAGTCTCATCTGCAAAGATGTTTATAATGGGTTTGGTCTTTTTTTGATGTTTTGTGTGAAGATATCTGAATATTACAGCTTAGACGTATGGTGATAATTGTGAAGTACTATCAATTCAATGACTTCCTCTTTTTCAATCAGTTTGAAAATGACTGAAATAATATTATTGGCCCTGCACTGTTGTTTAGCCAAAAAAGACGAGGCTGCAAATGAAATGCCATGGTTAAATAGAAATTGTGGATACTTATCATGTTGCTCCACGGCCTCTGAAACTCACACACACACACATACACGCATATTATAGATGTCTTGCCTGCTAGGATAAACCTGTCACACCCAGCTCGTCCTGTCAGCTACAGTACAGTATAACCCTGCAGCCCCTCCATGTCCCCCTCCAGCTGGATTTTGCTTTGCAATGTGTCATATTCAAGGATAGCTTTAGATTTTTTTCATGTCTGTCTTTAATACAACACTTCTATAATGTAATCATTCCTCTTCTGCATATCTGCCATGAGGTGGCACTTTCATGAAGTGGGTACGAAGTAAGAAGTGGCATTCCAAAGCTCAGCTGTAGCTCTTATGAGGCTTCAGCAGTTAGCCTAAATAAGTAGTTTGAAATATGAAGGTAATCATGTGTAAGTTTATAGAAGAAACAAAAAAAATGGCAGACAACAACACCAGATCTGTGTGGAGCAATAAGGAAGTTGAAATCTTTCTCGAACTATACATAAAACAGTCAGCCACATTGTATTTCCATCAGGTTTTCATGAGGGTTTTGCCTCTTAAGGTGCAATGAATGTACCAAACTGGCCACTAGCGGTTTATCATGATGCACCCAACTCCTAACATTCACATGTCAGTAGTGGAACAAAAACATCTTTTTGCATTTTCTGGAAACTTGATGTTTAATATTTGTTCTACTTTTGGGATGAGAAATTGTCTCAGAATATTGAATACTGGTCTTGATTGAACTTTGGAATGCATTTTTTGCACAGATCAAGGTCTGTGGATTTTGCCTCCTGTCCTGAGAGTGCTGAGAGGAAGGATGATTACAGTGACCCATAATACTTTGACTACGCATACAGAATGCAAGTGTTGTATTAAGATAGACTTGAAAATGTCCCATCCCATCCTTTAAAGGGTGAAACCCAATAAGGAGAAAGTAGAGCTGGAGTCGTGCAGAGCTTTGACATTTCATCCAGACTGTGTTCCAGTCCAGCTTCTTCGAACATAGAGAGAAGTGACTCTGAGGCAAAATAAATGATTATGGGCTAAACTCTCCCAACAGCGTTTTAAAAATGCACTTTAAAGAAAAATCATTTTGCCCTACATTCCAGCCTTTATGGTCACTTTTATGCACTGGCTTTACCCTTCATGATAAAGATATAAATATAAATATATACCCCTGCTTTGCCTGATGCAGAGCAAACTGGCCTTCCTCAAAAATGTAAATATTGTCCCCGGTTTTGAACTTTTACCACAGATTGAGGAGAGCTCGTAAAAATGCTGTACTTGAAGTTATCTCGCGGCTTTTCAGTGTCATCCCCAGGCTGTGATTGTGCGGCAGAAAAAAGGGGAGGAGAGGCAGTGGGTAATGCCAGTAAAGCGGCGTGACAGAAGAGGGTTAATACCATCGAGCTGTGCTAAGATTGCCCAGCCTCGTGTGGCTTTAAGGGATTGCAGGCAGTATTAGCAGCTGAATAATTATTTTTGGTATGTTTCGCCTTGTGTGCACACTTTCGGTGTGGCACATATTGCTTCATTCACCCCCCCAGCACCCTTCTGTGGAGCTTTGGCAGCCTGCAGTCTTGTATAAAACTTATATTTTTGAGTCCTGTGTGGGCTGAGTTCAAACTTTGTTCAAACTTGAATGTTATTCATATATTTCATATAAAGTCCAGTGAAGGAAAGACTCGGTGGAATTGCACATTTAGCACTGTGACAGAAAAAACTGAGAAATCAGTAGGAACATCAAAGATGGAAAATGATAAGGTGATGACACACCTTCTATGAAGTCAAATAGTGATGCTTCCACTATGTTTGTATACAGGGTTGTCCCCTTAATGCTATTAAAGAGAGGTCATCTATGAATATGCATATATGATGAATATAAATATAAGGCATCTATTTTTGGCATTCTTTATCATGTGGATACAAGTGGTAAGAGTAGGAAAAACCTCTAGGTTGGATCCAACGTGCATCCTCGACGTGCTCAACAATGAGTCTGTGTTTGCAACTTTTTTCAATGAAGCGGTTTGGTTTTCTTTTTGTATGCTGCACTGAAAATACATCATTTTCACAAGTGGTTTGGAAAACAGAAGTGTCGCCAGTCACTTCATCAAGTGAAATAATATAGTATACAGTAGAATAGCTGTTGCATTATTTGTTACGACCTCTATGTAATGTTATTATGGAAGATGTAATGTCCTTCTGTAAATGTTGTTTAATGTTGTTTTACCTGAAATAAAATTTATTAATGCTTCAACTTTGTGTATGGAGTTTCTTTTTTAAAATAAAGAGGGCACACTCTGTTCCTACTTACACAACTTGGGTCCAACTTTAAAGGGTGATACCAATATTTCATCACATTTACAGCAAACATTTCCAAACACACACCTTAGTAGTAGAGTTGTTTATTTTTTTTTATTTGTTGACTACCTTTAGGAAGCCATTGGTTGAATGAAAAATGTTTACAGTGCAAACCTTTAGGTCAGTCAGTCATTTACAGTAGTAGATGTCTCTTGAACCTGTGACCACTTGTGGGTGTAGGTAGGGGTGACCTGTTCTTCTTGTTGCTATATCAGTGCTGTATAAAGAGTTTTTTAAAAAGCATGTTGTTAGATGGCGATACATACAGGATGACTACATGTAGTTAGTTACATAGATTTGCTTTTAGCTACTTTCAGTCAACACCAGTTCCCATAAACACAAACCATTTGCAGGTCAACATGGTCATAAGGTCAGATCAAAATTATCTAATGACCAGTTTCTGACATGAAAACAGCACGTACATGACCATCCAATTCATAATTACAACTGGGAGGCTGGGACTTGCCACTTAATAGCACAGCTGGATTTGTAGTTACGAGCATAGTTACAGATGTTGACTGGGATTTTGAATGAGGTTTTTGAACTCATGGAACAGAGCCCAAAAGTTCTGATTCTACTTTTGCTCCCCGTAGGAGGTGCAGTACTCCATTAGCTTGAAATTACAAGGGGTTTGAATTCCATTTGTAAGTGCTGTAGTAGTCAACATGTAGATTATTTAGTTATCTTAAAATTACAAAGGGATTTGCAGTAGTAAGTGTTATATTAGTTGTTCACTTCATAACCCCTCTGCAAGAACAGGAAAAAAAGCTCCTTAAGGAAATGGTTTTATTTAGTTTTAGGATTTATAGTAATAGCAGCCCTTCATGCTTCTGTAATGTAAAGTATACATAGTATTGTTTGTAAATACACAAAAACACAACATACAGATCATCACAGGTCACACATCGACACAACAAGGTCATTCTAGCATTCAGTAGTGATAGTAGTACTATCACTACAGCCTAAAGACAAAAGTCAAGCACCACTTTGTGGTTTGATTGTAGCTCTCATGTCTCTCTCTCTGTACAGCCTAAGGAAGAAAATCTAGCATTCCTATGTCAATGTGCATTTTACAGTCCTCGCTCCTCGCCTACTGCTAACAGACAGACTACAGTGCCAGTTGGAAAGCAGTGCTCTCATCTTGTCTGCATTAGGAATCATATGTATTTTTCCACCTTCGGCTGATTTCTCCGTGCTGCTTGGTAATAAACAGATTTTCCGTGCAAGGGCTGATTACAGGAAGTTATGTCTCAACTGGTGCTTGGAAATGACACAGAACATACCCTCAAACTGCATTCTGTCGGCACACAGCGCAGTGATGCTGCATGCTGAATTTCAGGGGAGTAGATCCCAACTCATTTTAAGGATTAACACTTTTGGGAGATGAAAATGTGGTGACTACAACACAAGCAGATATAGGGAAACCCGGAAGTACACCAGGGTAAAAAGCATAGGAGTGTGAATGCATTTACTTCTTTTCTTTTCATTTTTTTTGTGGTGTTAAGGAGGCAGGGGAAACAACCTATAAACCCAACACAGAGACTATCCACTTCTTTCAAGCTATTACAGTAAACAGACATCTTGGCAAACAGTTGCTTTTTACACGTCCAACAATCATAGAGCAGCATTAGCATTCAAACTGATGTTGTGTTTCTACCAATATGATGAAGTGAAGTCTTATCCATTCTCTTTTACCTCTGTTTTTAGTCTTCACCAGCTCCTGAAAGAAATGTCTGGCTCTTTAGCTGCTAAATACTCCACTATGCTCCCCAGCTAGTCTCTTACCGTGTCTGCCATTTGATAGTGTGTAGGAGCTGCCTGCAAGAACAAAGCTAATTAGAGCAATGAATCAACCAAACAGTGTAAGTGTGAATCGCAAAACCAAAACAGAGCGGAAGACGTTAAAACACAACTATCCTTATTTTCAAGTGATTACACTCCTATGAAAACGTAATCATAAACACTGCAATACATTGCATTGCTGCTATTAGATCCACCTTAACCCTACAACAGGCCATTTAAATAAAATGTATAGTTAGTAATACCTATGAAGAACTATGTTTAATTTTAATGTACATTCAATGTAGGCACCATTGTCATGTAACCATGTGTTATTGGTTCCAAATGCTCTCCAGTCATGGCCCTCCTATGGAAGACAAAATCAACTGTGGTTGCAGTCATTTTTTTTCTAAAGATATTTTTTGGCCTATTTAGCTAGGACAGAGAGAGAGACAGGAAAGTAGGGGGAGAAGAACGGGGCAAGGACCTGCAGCAAAGGGCCATAAGTGGGACTCGAACCCTTGATCGCTGCACCAGGGACTATGGCCCCTGTACATGGGATGCCAGCTCAACCAGGTGAGCGACAGCGGTGCCCCAGGTTGCACCTAAAGAAATCTGCTAATCTTGATATTGTGAGTTCCCATCCAGGTACTACAGTTACAAGTTAAATACTTCATTAGTTCAGGATTATGATGACTAGCTTTGTATCTATCTAAAGAACAGATTATTTTCTTGAGAAAACAGGAGGATACCTGCTTTTTACAGAAAAACTGCTTTTTGCTTTTTTAATCATTTATTAACACAAGAAAGCAGCTTTTGTTTTCCTGAAATGCCAAAATATTATTATTATTATTATTACTATTATTATTAAAATCACAAATGAAGGAAAAAACAAGTTTTTGGAACCTGTGGAAGTGATGACAGATGATTATTCTGACGCTGCACGACTATGTACATTAAACTTAAACATAGCTTATTTGTGAATATGTTTTCAGATACAGCTGCATTTTAACCTTTACAGCTTGCATACCCTCCAGTTTATCTTTCAAGCTTCATGTTTTTGATTTTTAATCACTACCGACAATAAATCTTAGCAACCAGAGATCTGTGTGCTAAATCTAAAGCTCTCCCAAAAATAGAGCGACATTAAATTTTTGATTTGATCATTTTTGTCACAACTTTTATATATTACCTCATAAACATACTACAGGTAACAGTATACTATTTATATAAGGCTTGTGTCAATCTCAAACCTAAGTAGATATAACACAGAAATATTTTTGCAATGTAGTGTAAATAGGCTGCTGCAGTTCTGTTAGCACTCCCTTGCTATTGGCAAAAACTACACCTAAGTCCTGACCTGTAGTACAGATGCCTCTCCTCCTCAACCCTAAGTGTGCGCTGAAGAGAGTGGATTTTTGTTTTTATTTGGTATGACATACAACCTATGGTTTCTGAGGAAGGTCTAGCTTTAAATGCCAGTGCAACAAAAGGAAATAGTGGAACATAGTGTTCAACTAAACAGAAACTACAGTTAGATCAAATGTCACATTGTAAGAGAAACGCAAAGAAAAGTAGAAGGTATGTAAGAACCTATGGATTGCAGCATGTGACAATATAGACTAAATAATTCTGAACGTTTAAAAATATCTGTAAATATGACGTTTGATCTTCTGAAGTAAGTTAAAATGCTAGAAACTTACAGTCCCAAAAAAATAATTAAGCCACAATTCTTCTTGACTTCTAGTGCTTTTGTTGGTTTTATCTACAAGTACAGATGAGTCTTTGTGCTTGCCAGTTCAATTACAACTAATTTTCTACAAATCACTTAAGCTTTATATAAACCAACTGAGGCCCAGAACCTGAAAGAATACATACTAAAAAACCTGCATGAAGACTGGCTACAAAAAAATATATGAAGGAAGGAGGAAATTAACTACACATGCAGGAGCACTGCATGGTCCTTTAAGATGCTTGGCAGTGCTGTTCATCCAGCAGTCATGCCAACAACAGTGCAGAAGTGCACTGAAATGAACCTCTGCAATCCAGGCAAACATT